GAAATGGCTCCTCTAGCTCCCACCTCTGCTGTGAGGGCCTCGACTTCCCAGCCATTCTTCACACACTCCTGTTTGAGGTGGCGATACCGTGACAGCTTCTTCTCCCTGGACTGGATGATGCGGTCTTCGCTACACACCGTGAGTTCCAGCCAAAGAACCCTTCTCAATTTCTTCGAGAAGAGAACTATGTCTGGACGACACGTGGTAGGTGCAATAAAGTGTGGGAATACCAGCCTCTCGTCCAGATCTGAAAGAAGCTGCCAATCATGTGATCCTGACAAAAAACCATCGCTCAGACCTTTCCGCTGAGGTAACTCGCCATGGGGGATGTTTTGACCCGGTTTACAGAAGGTAATGTATGTACCATTAGTGGGAGTTTGCTCGGTATTTGACGACTTTTGCTTTGCTGATACTATTTCTGTCATGAATTTACTGATCTGTTTCAGGACGTTGTCATGGCGCCACGTGTACCTTCCTTGATGGAGTGAGGAAGGGCAGGCGGTGAGAATGTGCCTCAGTGTTGATGTCCGCTGACAAAGAGGGCAATTCCGGTCCACAACAGAGTTGCCCCATCGTCTCAGATTGTCAGGCGAAGGCAGAGTATTAAGTATCGCGTTCATTTGGAACGATATCGTCCTTCCATAGCCCTCGTATAAGAGTTTCCGCCATGTCATGTCCTCGAACATTGTGTCTGCCCATTTGGTCCAGGCCCCTTGCATTTGTAGGCCCTTTAGGTGCCGGAGCTGCTCCTGGCAGTCGCCTTCTCTGACTGTATTGAGGATTTGTTTCCTTGGTTTTACCACACGTGCTTTTGGTGTCACAAAGCCCAGTCCGGCTCTGGGCGGTCGCGAAGCAGGCGTGTCCCATACGGCCGTTTCGGCACATTCCAATTCCACAACCGGCGAGAACCTACGGGTGAACGTTTGTTCTTGTTTTCTGTGATGGCAATAGAGTTGAGCGATGTTGTGGTCTTTGCTGTGCTTGATAATGTGCCATTTAATAGTTTGCTGCTGCTTCCATAGTGTTGTGATACACATGAGCCGGAAACCTGGCCTTTCTCGATTTCCGGTGAAGAGGATGGCGGTGTTTGCAGCCTTGGGTAGGCCTGCCCACTTTTTAATAAAGGAGAGGCTGATGTGATGAAGCATTTTGGCAAAACTGTAACACAGGTCAAGTATCTCTAGGTGCCATGATATTTTCGGGATGATCAGATGTTGATAGAGCCAGAGTTTCTGGTGACCGACAAGGTGGGTTTCATGCACCAGTTTTAAGAGGTATCTAGTAAGGTCAACGAGATCTTTGCGTTGTTCCTCCTCTTTCATATTGTCCGTCAAATTTCTCCCCAGAAATTTGAATTGCCGACCATTTAGCGGCCAAGAAGAAGAAGAAGAAGAAGAAGAAGAAGAAGAAGAAGAAGAAGAAGAAGAAGAAGAAGAAGAAGAAGAAGAAGAAGAAGAAGAAGAAGAAGAAGAAGAAGAAGAAGAAGAAGAAGAAGAAGAAGAAGAAGAAGAAGAAGAAGAAGAAGAAGAAGAAGAAGAAGAAGAAGAAGAAGGGAAATGCTCACCATCAAATGGTGGATAAAAACCGTTTCGACTGCTTTTTAGACAGTAACGGGTAAAGAAAAAAGGAAAAAGAAACTCATATAATGCAATTCGAAGAGATAGGCCCCCAGTACAGTTGGGGTGTGGTTGTGTCCGTATGGTATAGTGTGTCATGTACAGGTAGTTGCGTTGTGATGTATGGTAATTTGTAGGGCGAATGTCGAGAAGGCTATGAAAATAACGATTCGACAAGAACAAGTGACTACGAGAGGTTGGCAAGGTTGGCGATCGTCCACCCCCGGCCCTTTAGAGGCCGGAATGGCGAGTTCAAATCTTGATTTTAAGGACGTCCAACTATCCTCGGAAGAAGAAGAAGAAGAAAAAGAAGAAGAAGAAGAAGGAAAGTAATTCGCACCATTAAAAACTGGTGGGTAAAAAACCGTCTCGACTGTTTTTTAGGCAGTGACGGAGAAAGTAAAAGGAGAAAAGAAAAAGAAAAAGGAAGCGGATGCCACTGTGGGCCAATGCCTGGGGTTGAGCAAAAGCAGTGAAGGCTAAAAAGCTCTTCAGAGCGGGAGCAGGCCAGTGCTCAGCGTAGTGCAATATGGACGAGACTGTTGTAGTGAAGTTGTGGACGAGACTGTTGTAGTGAATTTGTGTTGTGGCGTCGTGCAGCTTAACAGCAGCTTGGTGCAGCGAAAGCATACAGCGAATGGCAGCGCGCAGTGTTGTGGCTTTGTGCAATAGTAGCTCTAAGCGGCGAAAGCATCTACTGATAGACTCGCTCCAGCGCGGCGCAGCACAAGCAAGTATACTAGAAAAACGAAAAAAAAGCGAACGAAAGCTCGACTTGGTTGGCGAACACCCACCCCCGGCCCTTTAGAAGCCGGTGTGGCGAGTTAAAACCAAGATTTGAAGGGTACCCAACTATCCTCGCTGGGTGGCTGTCCGCCAACCAAGTGCCAACAAACTGCCTCTGGGGGACTTTTAAAACAGTGGCCAGTCGCGCCAAGCCTTCTCACGTCGCCTCAGCCAGATAACGTAGCTGGAATTTAGTGCTGCGTTTCTGCAGTTCCTTCTTAATTGGCGCTGTTTTTCCTTACAACCGCCCAATGCCCGTGCCAAACCGTCCAGGCTGCTGGAAATGGCTCCTCTAGCTCCCACCTCCGCTGTGAGGGCCTCGACTTCCCAGCCAGTCTTCATACACTCCTGTTTGAGGTGGCGATACCGTGACAGCTTCTTCTCCCTGGACTGGATGATGCGGTCTTCGCTACACACCGTGAGTTCCAGCCAAAGAACCCTTCTCAATTTCTTCGAGAAGAGAACTATGTCTGGACGACACGTGGTAGGTGCAATAAAGTGTGGGAATACTAGCCTCTCGTCCAGATCTGAAAGAAGCTGCCAATCATGTGATCCTGACAAAAAACCATCGCTCAGACCTTTCCGCTGAGGTAACTCGCCATGGGGGATGTTTTGACCCGGTTTACAGAAGGTAATGTATGTACCATTAGTGGGAGTTTGCTCGGTATTTGACGACTTTTGCTTTGCTGATACTACTTCTGTCATGAATTTACTGATCTGTTTCAGGACGTTGTCATGGCGCCACGTGTACCTTCCTTGATGGAGTGAGGAAGGGCAGGCGGTGAGAATGTGCCTCAGTGTTGATGTCCGCTGACAAAGAGGGCAATTCTGGTCCACAACAGAGTTGCCCCATCGTCTCAGATTGTCAGGCGAAGGCAGAGTATTAAGTATCGCGTTCATTTGGAACGATATCGTCCTTCCATAGCCCTCGTATAAGAGTTTCCGCCATGTCATGTCCTCGAACATTGTGTCTGCCCATTTGGTCCAGGCCCCTTGCATTTGTAGGCCCTTTAGGTGCCGGAGCTGCTCCTGGCAGTCGCCTTCTCTGATTGTATTGAGGATTTGTTTCCTTGGTTTTACCACGCGTGCTTTTGGTGTCACGAAGCCCAGTCCGGCTCTGGGCGGACGTGAAGCAGGCGTGTCCCATACGGCCGTTTCGGCACATTCCAATTCCACAACCGGCGAGAACCTACGGGTGAACGTTTGTTCTTGTTTTCTGTGATGGCAATACAGTTGAGCGATGTTGTGGTCTTTGCTGTGCTTGATAATGTGCCATTTAATAGTTTGCTGCTGCTTCCATAGTGTTGTGATACACATGAGCCGGAGACCTGGCCTTTCTCGATTTCCGGTGAAGAGGATGGCGGTGTTTGCAGCCTTGGGTAGGCCTGCCCACTTTTTAATAAAGGAGAGGCTGATGTGATGAAGCATTTTGGCAAAACTGTAACACAGGTCAAGTATCTCTAGGTGCCATGATATTTTCGGGATGATCAGATGTTGATAGAGCCAGAGTTTCTGGTGACCGACAAGGTGGGTTTCATGCACCAGTTTCAAGAGGTATCTAGTAAGGTCAACGAGATCTTTGCGTTGTTCCTCCTCTTTCATATTGTCCGTCAAATTTCTCCCCAGAAATTTGAATTGCCGACCATTTAGCGGCGGTACATCCTTGCCGGATATTGTAAGGCCGGGGTCGAAACAGGTGTACTTGTTGTTGATTAGTTTCGCCGCGTAGGTCCTGCATTTATGCGGGGCAGCTTTCATTTGAGACCAGGACAAAAACTTGTCCACAACATCTAGTTTCTTTTGTGCGCCATGGGTTCTGTTACTAAAAACGGCTAAATCATCTGCGAAACCAGTGTTAGAAGCAGTGATATCCGTCTGCTTGAAATTGTATGAAAGTGCCTGTAGGGGTTTTGCCTGGAGGGCATCGAGGAGGACTTGGAAGGTAATATTGAACAGTACTGGGGACAGTGGGCATCCCTGAAACACACCGATACTGTACCGGAACGTCCGGGTCTGGGGCTTTCGTACGGAAGCAGTGAGATGTTCGTAGTAAGAAAATACAAGTCTTCTGATTTTCAGTGGGATATGGTACCGATGCAATGCCGCTTGAATTAAATTGTGCTTTACTGATCCGAACGCGTTCTTTAGGTCTATCCACACAATGGCTATGGAGCGCTTGTTCCTCTTCGAGTCTTTCATGGCTTCGCTACACAGAGTAGCATGCTCCACACAGCCTGACATTCCCGGCAGGAAACCTTTCTGTGTCATGCCATCAAAATACTCATTCACCAACATATGGCGAGTTAGTATCTTGGACAGCATGGCAAAGAAGATCTTACCATCGCAGTTGGATAGAGCGATTGGTCGGAACTTTGCTGGATCTGACACACTGTCACTTTTAGCAATTAGTGTAACGGAGGCGCACTGCCAAGATCGCGGGATGACACCAGTCTTCCAAACTGTTTCGAAGATGCTGAAAAGGATATTGTGCAGGCATTTGCATCGTTTCCAGATTATGTACGGAAAAGAAGAAGAAGAAGAAGAAGAAGAAGAAGAAGAAGAAGAAGAAGAAGAAGAAGAAAGCAGTTTTTGGGTACGATGGCGGGCGGGAGCAAATTTGTAGCTCCTGGCTCAGCAGCATCTGTTCTCTTCCCCAAGGATCCAGAGTGGCCCAAGGACCACGTTTTCTTCATTGAGGAGCTATCCAAGAATGGAGTGAAGCCAGAGGAGTTGCTTCTAGTGGACTTACACGGAAAGCCAGGTTGGTGTGTAGTAACGTTGTCCTGCCCAGCTGTGAGAGATAGGATCGCGGCAAGTGGAGTCCGGATCGCCGGTAAGGATGTGCATGTTATTGTTGGAGGCAGCCAAGTCACTGTGGTGTCCTTGTTCGGCTGTCCCTTGCATTTACACGATGGAGCGTTAATCAATTCTTTGGAGGCACATGGGAAAGTTTTCGGTCAGCCGACGAGGAAAACAGTAAAGCATGGAGATTATGCTATCGAAACAGGAACCAGGCAGATTCGAATCAGCTTGCAGAAAGGAGTACCGAGTACGCTGAGAGTAGGTAGTGTCACTGTACGTACATGGTACCCTGGCCAAGTACAGACATGCTACCTCTGTACACAGACTGGCCACGAGGCAAGGTACTGTCCAACACGCAAGAATAGCAACCAGGCGTACGCAGGGGCCGAGGGTCAAAGCAGCCAGACCCAGGCAACCCCAAACACGCATGCAGGAGAGAAAGCACTGTACTCACAGGTCACACAAGGTCAGAGCAATACGCAAGAACGGCATGGAAATACCGTAGCGAACACAAATGAAAGTGCTGAAGGCGGACAACAGGAAAAAGACGCATCAACCCCAGGCCGGGGAGAAATACACCCGACTGAACACAAGGGAAAGCACCCCCTCGACGGGATCTCAGAAACCTCACAGCAGGAAAACGATACCTCCAGCACAGAGCAGAATGAAGAGACAAACCGTACATATTCCTCCGCTGTTGATGAGCGGCATCACAGGCACCCTGACCCCAACAGCGCGGAACAAGCGACTGGCGATGAGTCTCTGCCCCAGGAAAGCCGGTCCGTGCAAGATGAACAACAATCATCTGTGGACTCAGCCAATCCTCCCCAAGGGCTGCAGCAGCAACAGCAGCAGGCCTCCACACCTGTTGCTCCATCGCTGCCACCACCATCCCGAGGTAAAGCCGCCCACTCATCTCCAGATGAAGAAGGTTTTACCCTAGCATCGGGAAAGCACACCTTCGCACCCCATGTCCTGACCCCCACCCAGCTGACCCCCGAGCAGCAGCCAGCATTCAATGTCGACATACAACAGCAATGGGCAAAGCAGGCCAGCGCGAAAGAGATGGCCGATGTTGCCAAACGAGTAGCCGCAAGTCATCGACGGCACTTGAGTAAGTAAGCATCCTAGTAATAGTGGTCAGGAACATTTTTGCGCATATCAATCTGTATTCTACTACTGTGCTGATTCTGTCGACACTCTTACAAATGGCGTCTCTTAATCCCCTAGCACCCAGCTTTTTCCCCTCTAAGTCAAATCTAACCAGGCCTACCAGTATATGTCCTACTCACGATGCAGAACCCCTCCCTGCCCTTCTTGCTGATGTGACATCTAGCCATCCACCCTACACGCCCATAACACATTCATTCCACCTTAGGATAGGCCAACTCAACTGCCAAAGCGCCACTCATAAGATCCCAGTCATTGAGTCGCTACTACACACTGCGTCCCTTGACCTCCTATTCCTCTGTGAGACGTGGTTCTACCAATCACTGCCGGATGCAGCCATCTCAATTCCCGGATACAGCCTCCTGCGTAAAGATAGAGACGGTGCCCGACACTCCGCGATAGGCGGAGGACTTGCTGTTTATATTCGACAATCGCTTATGTGCCATTTCCAACGGCGGACCGACCTTGAATGCAAACTGGAGCACATTTGCGTGGAATTTATAGAATCGCAGAACAGTCGAAAGAATACATTCCACATGTTTTACAGGCCCCCTCACCGATCATCAGCAGAAAAACACGACTTTTTTGTGTCCTTCCAGTCCACCATTGCCAACGCACTGTCAGCCTCAGGCACGACAGTCATTCTCGGTGATTTCAATGCCAAACTCCGACAGTGGAACGCAACAGATGTTGATACGGCAGAGGGCAAACAGCTAGCAGGATTGTTAGACGACCTTGCACTACAGCAAATTGTCCGAAACACCGCAACGCGATACTCAGCTACGGGTAGCCAGTCATCACTTCTCGACCTGGTTATCACAGACGCAGAGCATCGCATATCCGACCTTGAAGTCCTAGATCCGCTATCAGACCACTGTCCCATAATCTTTAAATATCTCTCAGGAAAGCACACCCCAAAGCACCCGCCGCCCCGCTTTGTACCAGACTACGCGAACACTGACTTTCAATCTCTACGACAGAAACTTTCATCTCTTCCACTCCGGGAGTGTATGCTCGGTGCTTCCACCATCGAGAGTGCGTGGTGGGCATGGGAGTCATGCATCACACAAGCCATTGCCAGCTGCTTAGCGTACAGACGAGTTTCATCTCGAAGACAGCAAACCAAGCCTTGGTTCACCCCGCATCTGCATCACCTTCATCGCCAGAAGCAGCGCCTTTTCCGTGCCGCCAAGCGCCACCAAACAGTAGCATACTGGTTAACCTACAAGGCCCAGAGGAATGCATATCAGAACCAGTTAAGAAATGCCAAGACCCTGTACTTCAAGCGCCTCAGTGAGAATATTCACGATGAGCAAGATGCCCACCTTTGGTGGAAGAAAGCCAAGACACTTGCCAACATCTCCTGTAAGAAAGATAAAGTTCCTGACCTAACGTGTGAGGGCTACACGGCACAGAGCGAACCAGAGAAAGCAGAAATGCTCGCGAAGGTATTTGAGCGCCAGTGCACTCCTGCTCACGGTACAGGTCCAATACCAGCACCAGCCGACGACTGTCCGAATGAAGTATTCTCTCTGCCAGTCTTGGCCGAATCCTCAGTGTACCGGGTGCTCCGAAGGCTCCCGCAGCATAAGGCAACAGGCGGGAACATCTCGAACAGGATCCTCCGAGAGATCGCACCATGTATAACGTCCTCTGTTACCAACCTGTTTAACGCTAGCCTCACCTTAGGTGAGTTTCCTAGTGCCTGGAAGCTGGGAACAGTAATCCCCATATTTAAAAATAAAGGTAACCCGTGTGATCCCTCCAACTACCGCCCTATAACCCTACTCCCAGCTATTGCGAAAGCACTAGACAAGATTGTCGCCACCAAATTCGGTCACTATCTCGAGGTCAACAACATCATTGTCCCGGAACAGTTCGGCTTTGTCCGTGATCGCTCCACAGTTGACCAGCTGATACAGCTCACTACTAAGATCGCCTCGACCATGGATAAACGCATCCCTTACGATGCTGCATTTCTCGATTTTGCGAAGGCCTTCGATAAAGTGCCGCATGACGTGCTTCTCCAGCAACTCGGGACTATCTGCGATGCTCCGGCTACGAGTTGGTTTAAGAACTACCTCGATACGCGTACATTCAGCGTCCGAGTCCAACACCATCTGTCCTCCCCACGTCCCGTCAAGTCTGGAGTACCCCAGGGTTCCCACCTCGGGCCATTGCTTTTCCTGGTACATATCAACAGCCTACCCAGTGCCTCGAAACGCAACCAGCACGCTGATGTTTACCTGTTCGCGGATGACACCGCCGTCGGCCAAGCACGAACCAAAGGTACCAGCCCAATGGAGACTGCCCTGCAGGACACATTTGCCTGGGCCGACCGAGTAGGCGGAACCTTCAACCCATCGAAAACCGTTGTTATCTCATTCGCTGAGGAAGGAGCTGCAGAGACCATCCGCGGTATCCAGCCGTCAACCAGTCACCGTCACCTGGGAGTGTTGTTGAGTGAAACACTTAGCTTCCAGGAGCATATTGAACAGACAATAAGCAAGTTTAGACAACGCTGCGTTCTTCTGTGCCATATGGCTGACCGTTTAACAGGAGACATCGTCAGGAAGCTGTACCTTACGTATGTCCGCCCCACAGCAGAATACGCCGCCCCAGTATGGGAGTCCTCCCTCTCTGCTGCACAGCGGCTCACCCTTGAACGGCTGCAAGCCAGAGTAGCTCGCACAGTCATGCGGCTTGAGAGATGCCCTTGCCCATCAGACGAGCCCAAGTCATCATTGTTTAAACAGCTGGGGTGGCCAAGTCTATCCTGGCGCAGGAAGATCGCCTGCCTTATGGAATTCTTCCATTTGGTCACCACCCAACCAGAACTTTTTGAAGCAGCGGGATACTGCCCCACGCGTAGTCGCCGCCGCCAACTCGCATTCACTCTGCCACGGGTTGGGAAACACGCCGGGAGGTCATTTCTCTTCCGCACCGCTACTGTCTGGAATGCCTTGCCCGCAGACCTGAGAGCCACAGCCTCGCAGTCCCTGTTTCACAGTCACATTTGCACGCACTTCTCTGACACCAAACACAATGCCACTCCTCACTGACATGCCTCTGTCCTCCTTCTTTGTGCGTTGCGCTTATTCTTATTAATTTTTGTGTTTCTGTTTCGGTACATTTCGTATTTCAAGGCATATCCCGAGGCTATAGGTATCATTGATTAAAGGACCATTCTGGAACATTCAGCATAATTGTATTTCTCTTGCTAGGCTCTTCATTACGAATTATTAGCCCTCCACTGTCTGCTATCTCAACCCTACAGTCTCCCATTATAATGGAACTCCCTTCGATTTAGACTACGTCTTTGGGAAATCCTCAAATATATAATAATAATAATAATAAAAATAAGAAGAAGAAGGAAAGTAATTCGCACCATTAAAAACTGGTGGGTAAAAAACCGTCTCGACTGTTTTTTAGGCAGTGACGGAGAAAGTAAAAGGAGAAAAGAAAAAGAAAAAGGAAGCGGATGCCACTGTGGGCCAATGCCTGGGGTTGAGCAAAAGCAGTGAAGGCTAAAAAGCTCTTCAGAGCGGGAGCAGGCCAGTGCTCAGCGTAGTGCAATATGGACGAGACTGTTGTAGTGAAGTTGTGGACGAGACTGTTGTAGTGAATTTGTGTTGTGGCGTCGTGCAGCTTAACAGCAGCTTGGTGCAGCGAAAGCATACAGCGAATGGCAGCGCGCAGTGTTGTGGCTTTGTGCAATAGTAGCTCTAAGCGGCGAAAGCATCTACTGATAGACTCGCTCCAGCGCGGCGCAGCACAAGCAAGTATACTAGAAAAACGAAAAAAAGCGAACGAAAGCTCGACTTGGTTGGCGAACACCCACCCCCGGCCCTTTAGAAGCCGGTGTGGCGAGTTAAAACCAAGATTTGAAGGGTACCCAACTATCCTCGCTGGGTGGCTGTCCGCCAACCAAGTGCCAACAAACTGCCTCTGGGGGACTTTTAAAACAGTGGCCAGTCGCGCCAAGCCTTCTCACGTCGCCTCAGCCAGATAACGTAGCTGGAATTTAGTGCTGCGTTTCTGCAGTTCCTTCTTAATTGGCGCTGTTTTTCCTTACAACCGCCCAATGCCCGTGCCAAACCGTCCAGGCTGCTGGAAATGGCTCCTCTAGCTCCCACCTCCGCTGTGAGGGCCTCGACTTCCCAGCCAGTCTTCATACACTCCTGTTTGAGGTGGCGATACCGTGACAGCTTCTTCTCCCTGGACTGGATGATGCGGTCTTCGCTACACACCGTGAGTTCCAGCCAAAGAACCCTTCTCAATTTCTTCGAGAAGAGAACTATGTCTGGACGACACGTGGTAGGTGCAATAAAGTGTGGGAATACTAGCCTCTCGTCCAGATCTGAAAGAAGCTGCCAATCATGTGATCCTGACAAAAAACCATCGCTCAGACCTTTCCGCTGAGGTAACTCGCCATGGGGGATGTTTTGACCCGGTTTACAGAAGGTAATGTATGTACCATTAGTGGGAGTTTGCTCGGTATTTGACGACTTTTGCTTTGCTGATACTACTTCTGTCATGAATTTACTGATCTGTTTCAGGACGTTGTCATGGCGCCACGTGTACCTTCCTTGATGGAGTGAGGAAGGGCAGGCGGTGAGAATGTGCCTCAGTGTTGATGTCCGCTGACAAAGAGGGCAATTCTGGTCCACAACAGAGTTGCCCCATCGTCTCAGATTGTCAGGCGAAGGCAGAGTATTAAGTATCGCGTTCATTTGGAACGATATCGTCCTTCCATAGCCCTCGTATAAGAGTTTCCGCCATGTCATGTCCTCGAACATTGTGTCTGCCCATTTGGTCCAGGCCCCTTGCATTTGTAGGCCCTTTAGGTGCCGGAGCTGCTCCTGGCAGTCGCCTTCTCTGATTGTATTGAGGATTTGTTTCCTTGGTTTTACCACGCGTGCTTTTGGTGTCACGAAGCCCAGTCCGGCTCTGGGC